AAAAAAAAAAAAAAAAGACGTGCTGCCAACTGCGGATACCCGAAGTCAGAAGACATTCAGTCTAGGATTGCCTGTACTGCAAATCACTTGGCATATAACAGGCACTGTTTACTTATTTATTTATTTATTATTTTCACAGGGACTGTGAAAATAACAGGCACTGTTTACTTATCTATTTATTTATTTATTTATTATTTTCACAGGGTGTACAGGGTCTCACTACTAGATTAGACTTGCAGTAATCCACCTGTTTACAGCCTCTCAAGAGCTGGAATTACAGGCACACGTCACCACACCCAGTCTCAATTGCCTTTTCCGTTTGTTCCAGGGGTGGGACCGGCACAGAAGGCCCAGGGATCGAACCCCCAGACCCTGCTCCTGCTTGCAGGCACTTTAATCCACTGAGCTATTTGGCCGGCTTTAGACACTATTAAAGTAGTGCAAACACTATATATTCATTGGCTATATTAGGCTTACATGTGAGAGGGGTTCTAGTCTCTGGCTTGTGTGCTATTTTTCTTGGGAAATAAAGGATGAAGGTAGTGATGGGGTTTTTTTGTTTTGTTTTGTTTTGTTTTGTTTTGTGGTACCTGGGATTGAACTCAGGACCCTGCACTTGCCAGGCAGGTGCTTATTCTACTGAGCCATCTCCCTGGCCCGGTAATGATGGTTTAGTTTATTTTATTTTTGTGATGGTTTAAATGTATTGAATAAGGTCAGACTGGGGAAGTTGCTTGCTGAGCTTCCATTTGGGAACCCCTAAGATCCACAAAGAAGTGGGGATGACAGCAGTGCGGAAAGGTTCCCATGTCGGCATCACTCTGCTGCTTCACCCGGGATGCGCGCTTGTCTGCACACAGCATGGTGCTGAGCCAGGCTCCCTGCTGCCAAGTGGGCAAAAGTCAGGTACATGTTTCCCTTCTTCGTGCTCATCAGATGGAAAAAAAATCCAGTGTTCTTTAATGGCATTGCAGATAACAAGGTGTCTCCTCAATGTAGCAATGCAGTGATCCTGGCTGCACTTTTCCAAATTGTTCTTTCATCACTACTAAAAAGTGACTCAGAGGGCGGGGGAGATGGCTCAGTAGAATAAGTGCTTCCCTGGCAAGCACAAGGGCCTGAGTTCAATCCCTGATACTGCCCCCCCAAAAAAAAAAAAAAAAAGTGACTCAGGCCAGTGAGATAGCTCAGCAGACTAAGCGCCTGCTTAGGCAAGCACAGGAACCGGGGTTCAGTACCCGATCACACTGAGCCGGCCACCAAGACCAGGTGTGGTGGTGCACACCTGTAATCCCAGCGCTAAGGAGACTGAAAACAGGAGGATCACTAGGAGTCTGAGCTGCTTAGTGAGACCCTGTACCAAATACAGAAATAAATTAAATAAATAAGTAGTGACTTGGGCTGGAGAGATGGCTCAGTG